TCAATAGACATAGTTTTAGTCGTCTAATTTTTTTCTGGCCCTATATCATAATTTTTTTTTGGCCCTATATAATAAATATACGAATTTAAATATTTTATTCTATATATAGTACAACCTCTATAAATTAATACTCGATAAATTAATAATATCTATAAATTAATAAATTTCACCGGTCCCAAACTTGGGCCGGTGTAAAATATGACACAAATTGATAAAATAATAAGATAATAATATTTTTAAAACTGCCATGTAAATATATGGTCCCAGTAAAATCATAAATTAATAATCTAGCAATATATAATTTTATATAAGCACAATCTAAACATTATGTTGTTGGTTTTATATTTACTATAAGAATACTGTTATTTTTTTTAAACATTTCAATATATTTTGATAATATTTAGTTAGGGGTTTTATATTTACTATAAAATACTGTTATTTTTAAAAATAGTTCAATATATTTTTATAATATTTAGTAAGGGGTTTTATATTTACTATAAATATAATTTTATTTTTTATACATTTCAATATATTTTGATAATATTTAGTTAAATTATATCGAAAACCATGTAACAATTCTATGAAACATAAAAATAAACACCAAATAAGATAATAAAACAATATAAAAGTCAAATTTCTAAAATTTAAATAACGTACATAGGCTAAAATCAAATATATTTTTTTATTTTATAAATAATAATGGAAAAAAATAAAAAAAAATCTAAATAAGGAAACTTTCGTAGATTAATATCTCTATAAATTAATAAAATTTCAGAGTCCCAACATTATTAATTTATAGAGGTTTTACTGTAGTAGGTTTTCTATATCTGAATGATAAGAATACGCACAAATAATCTAAATGATTATTTATAGCATTTCTATGTTTTCCGGTAGACTATTCCAAAACTCTAGTATAATTCTATTGCATTTAAAATTTTTTTGACATAATTAATGTGTGATGCCTTTATTTGACATTATCAACACATCTTCTTAAGCCTAATTCTTGGGCAAATAAACTATAATCAATAAGAACATATACCATATTTAATGTTCATCGACACATGCAGGCGCGACCCTAAACTATTTTAGGCCAGAAACTCAAAATAAATAAAAAACTAAAAATATAGATTGAAGGATTTGAACCCTACACCTTTCTAAATGTCACAGACCAATTTACCAACTGAACAATAAAGGATTTTACAAAACAAACGGCCAAAAATTTACTTATTATAAAGAGGGCCGGAAGCAACTGCTTCTATTGCTTCACCTAGGGCCGCTACTGGTCACATGCATTTTGTATTCAAACAAATAATTTATTCGTATGAACTAACTTTATATCTTTCATTAATGTTATACAAAAGGCAGTCGTATAACACTGTAGAGTACTCGAAACGACTAAATATCGAACGGAAGGGTGAAAACTTAAAACTAAAAGCCGTATTTGAACTTTGCGCACGTAAAAATCTCGTGTCATTTGCATGGAACCATCTGCACGAACATATAATCTTATACGATACGTCTTTCCCTCTCATTATAAATTTTGTTTGATTTTTTACACAAATTAAATAAATTGTTTGATTTTTTTTGTATTTTTTTAAAGTTTATATGTGTCTAGGCAATTAATCAGAAAAAGAAACAAAAAGTAGTGTTTTTGTTAAGCTTGCTTAGAAATATATAGGCATTACATTTTCATCTTTTTTAATATATGTAAAAAAAGCTGAAACGATATTGTAATTCCCAACTATCTACGGTTAATGGGTCATTTACGCCCGTTCACTCGGTTTGTAGATCACATCCTGTTTCAACGGTCATTCAGTTAATTTTACTGACCTTGGAATCACTATCCGACTTTTCTCTGTAAGAATATTTTATATTCTTATATGACCTATGTGTATCTTGGTTTAATATATGGTTCAAGTTCATATCAATATTTTAGACTCTAATATAAAAAGACGATACCATGATAGATTGGTTTCGATAAAAGATTTAGAATATAGGTGTATTGATAACCATCCTATTTTATCTTATATTTATAAATGTCCTTAATCTCATGATCCTATATAAAAGGTAATAATAAATAAATATATTACCATAAGGTTTAATGCATATGATTATATATTATGGTGCACTAATATAGACCGAAGAGATGTATTGGAGAGTTGTGTTGGTTACACACAATCCTTTGATTATTATAAAAGGCTAGCTTACATCACGTATATGGTTGACATAAAAAAAATTCTCTTTATAACACCATAATAATAGCATCACAAGGAGATATTAAGGAAGGTTTAAGGTTTTTTGTCCATCAAAGAAATCACTAAAGAGAAGGTTAAAGGGGAGAAAATCAATTGATTTCATTTTATCATTATTAAGTATGGATTAAAGGTCAGTATATCTTTCTTTTTCTCTAGAAAATATTAGAGTTGAATTAAGATAAATCTAGTTTGATCTTGGGTAGATATCACTATAGAAATCATTAAAGTTAATCTTACATTCTCCGTGTTTGGGCCTCACTCGCACGGTATCGTGAATCACTTCCCGATAGGTCACCCATCCTTTCACTATTTCAATCCAAGCACGCTTAACTTTGGAGTTTTAAACGGATGAGTGACGAAAAAGGTAAATCAATTATGGTGACATAGGTAGTAAATTTAATTCTTTTAAGAATCATATATCACAACTCGTGATGTTACAATTCACCCCCTCTCAAATAACGGAAAGTCCTTTTTGCGCCCCAAAATCATACCCCTTTTAGTGTGAGCCCTCAGTGACTCCACATTAGTCGGGATTCGACTCTAATACCACTTGTAACGCCATGACCATCCATGGCTAATGGGCCACCCACGCCTGCTCACTCGTTCTGTGGGCCCCATCTCGTTCCAACGGTCAGTCCGTACATTTTTCTTAGGCCCGAAAGTATTGTTTACTGACCTGCAATCAACACCCGATCTTTCCCCGTGTTTTGGCCTCACTCGCACGGTATCACGAATCACTTCTCGATAGATCACCCATCTTTTCGCTACTCCAACTCAAACACGCTTAACTCGGGATTTCTAAACGGACGGATGTGTGACGGAAAAGGTAAGACAACTATGGTGACATAGGTAACCAAATCAATTCTCTTAAACATTTTCATATATCACAACTCGGGATGTTACAATTTGTAAGGCCATGACCGTCCACGGCTAATGGCCACCCACATCCGCTCACTCGGCCCGTGGGCTCCATCCCGTTCTAACGGTCGGTCTGTTAATTTTTCCAAGGCCCGAAAATATTGTTTACTGACCCTACAATCACCACCCAACCTTTCCCCGTGTTTTGGCCTCACTCGCACGGTATCGCGAATCACTTCCTGATAGTCATCCATCCTTTACTCCAACCCAAGCACAAACAATTAACTTTGGAGTTCTAAACAGATGTGTGACGGAAAAGTCAAATATGGTGACATGGTAGCCAAATCAATTCTCTTAACCCTTTCCATATATCACAACTCGGGATGTTACAATTCACCCCATCTCAAAGAACACAACGTCCCTGTTGTACCCCCAAGATCATACCCATGTTAGTGTGAGCCCTCACTGACTCCAAACTCATCGGGGTTTGGCTCCGATACCATTTGTAACGCTCTGACTGTCCATGACTAATGGACGGCGATGTGAGTTATTTAAAAGGAAAAATTAGAAAATCAAAAGGATATGTGGGGTAGTTCATATAAGCATTACACTTGAGTAAGTAGTTCCAATATAAAATATTTTTCAGATTTCAATCTTTTATATATTATTTGCGAAGTGATTTGCCACATGTCTTATTTACAATCATTTTTATAAAAAAAATGATGACATGACTATTAAGATTGATGACATGAGTTATAGTTAAATATGACATGGAAAATTACATTTGTTGTTAATATATATTTTTGATAAACTTTATAAAATATGAATAAATAATGCATTACATTTAATGTTGATTTATGTTTTTGGTAAACTTCTTAAAATATGGTAATAACTCATAAATCAAATCATCAACAAAAATAAATATATTAAAATATGCATTATAAATTTTAAAATATTATTTAATTTTACTTTTATAATTATACAGTTTTTATTACTAATATTTTCAAACTTTTTTACATGTTCTTACAAAAATAATAAATTTTTAATCATAATATCATTAGTTTCTTTTAGATATCGATAAATTTCATAAATATTGTTTAGTTATAATTTGTAATAACTATACTACTTTTATATGAATTTCTTAGTAATTTTATACAAGTTTATTTAATGCATTTACCCAAAATAAATGGATAAACAATTCTAAGATTGGAATTTTAAATATGTTACATATAAATATTAAATATAATTTAAAATAAACAAATCTGTTTTTTTCTTCTTAATTTGTGTTTAATTAAATAAAATTTATATTAATATTAGTCAAAATAATAAGTTATATAATATTAAAAAAATTATTTAAAATATAATTTAAATTTTTCAAAGTTTTAATGCACATAGTGTAAGGAAAACACCTTATTTTGTTTTTTAAAAAAAAATCCCTACTTGAGGACCAGCGAAAGACACAAATTATAAACTGAATTAAGTCAAACTCAACAATTTATTCTTCTTTTCCCCGCAAGATTTAGTTATTTAGAAAATATCCCCAAAATAATTTTACAGATAATTTCAAACTTCTAACAAAAACCATTGTATAATCTTTGACATCTAAAATTAAATAAAAAGCTAAGGTAAAACCAAACCAAAGAAAACGTTGTGTGTATGGATGTCTCGGACTACACTGGTAGACGACTTTGGTTTGGTTGCAGATCATCAGTACTGAGACGACAGATGTGAACTGTAGCGGTTACGAAGTACACTACAATGGGTATTCCAACACAAAGTGCGAGCTTGGGAGAAATAATAGAAAAGAGAAAGACAACGAGAGCCAGCCCAAAGCCATGACTCGGACATTCGGCTACGGAAAAAATTGAACCCGGTTGTACACGTTCATCAGGGAGGTCCGAGGAATCTGAATCCGAATCTGACTCCCGGGCTGCCACGGGTAGCACATGCAATATTTACGTACACGTATAAGAAAAGCAATCCCGGAAGATTTTTGTATCGATTCAAGGGGATCTTCTCGTGTTTAATGAACAAGAGGGCTGCGACACTGGACGAGACTATGAGCGTGTGCATGATGATCACGTACAATGTTTGCTTCCATGACCTGCCATTCAACTTTAATAAATAAATCATGAGCCATTGATCAAAACCACACAAGAAATAATAATAAAAAGAAGTAAAACCCTGATCCACTTACATCGTACAGTAAACCATTGTTTTGCTCTTCTCCTTGATGATGAATAACTAGGCTACCTACGTCTGCTCACTCAGTTTGTGAACCCATCTCGTTCCAACGGTCGGTCTTTTAATTTTTTCAAGGTCTGAAAGTATTGTTTACTGACCCTGCAATCAACATCCAACTTTTCTCCGTGTTTTGGCCTCACTCACACGGTATTACGAATCAGTTACCGATAGGTCACCCAGCCTTTCGCTACTCCAGCTCAAACACGCTTACCTCAGGAGTTCTAAACGAATGTGTGACAGAAAAAGTAAGTCAACGATGGTGACATAGGTAGCCAAATCAATTATCTTACACCTTTCCATATATCACAACTCGGGATGTTACAATTTGTAACGCCATTACCGTCCACGGCTAATGGGCCATCCACGCCCGCTCACTCGGCTTATGGACCCTATCACGTTTTAAGGGTCGGTTTGTTAATTTTTCCAAGGCCCGAAAGTATTGTTTACTGATCCTGCAATCACTACCTGAACTTTCCCCGTGTTTTGGCCTCACTCACACGGTATCGCGAATCACTTCCCAATAGGTCACCGATCCTTTCACTACTCCAGTCTAAGCATGGTTAACTCTAGAGTTCTAAACGGATGTGTGATAGAAAAGGTAAGTTAACTATGGTGACATAAGTAGCCAAATCAATTCTCTTAAGCTTTTTTATATTTCACAACTCGGGATGTTACAATTTACCCCCTCTCAAAGAACGCAACGTCTTTGTTGTGCCCCAGATCATACCCCTGTTAGTGTGAGCCCTCACTGACTTCACACTCGTCGGGGTTCAGCTCTAATACCACTTGTAATGTCCCAACTGGTCACGGTTAATGGACCACCACGCCCGCTCATACGGCTCGTGGGTCCCATCATGTTCTAACGGTTGGTCCATTAATTTTTCAAGGTCCGAAAGTATTGTTTACTGCCCTGCGATCACCACCCGATATTTCTCTGTGTTTTGGCCTCACTCACACGGTATCGCAAATCACTTTCCGATCGATCATTCATTTTTTTACTACTCCAGTCCAAATGCGCTTAAATCTGGAGTTCTAAACGGATGTGTGACAAAAAGGTAAGTCAACTATAGTAATATAAATAGCCAAATCGATTCTCTTAAATCTTTTCATATATCACAATTCGAATGTTACGGATTTTAAAAAATGTCTTAGTTTACAAGATTTTCATACGTATTATATTTTTTTTTTTGAAAATCTTGTAAAATAGTAGTATGTTGTCTTTTTTTTTTTCTGCTAAAGGTGGAATTAATATGCTATAAAATTTATGGGCTCACGCATTCTTAGTTCAGATGGTTCGATTGTGTATGATTTAATTTATGTTATATTGACAAGTAGATATATACTTCAATGCATATACTTGAATTTTGCATTTATAGTCGCTTCAAAATTATTTAATGAAAGCGGGTAGACAAGTACTGAATATTTATTTCTTCCACCAGGAAATAACAACTAATTTATGTCCGAATATAATTATATTAACTGATGGACTTAGTAATATGATCCATCTCACCATATAGTTTGATCATGTTATGGACATATCGTTGTAGCTTTCAAACACACTTCTCTTTATTTTTAAATGCTTCAGTTTATGAAGTAAAAGTTTATAGTACGAAATAAATTGAAGGGAAGAGACATGAATCTTAACTGTGGTTGCATGCATGGAGGAGCGGATATGTTGGGAGCTTTAAAAGCTTGTTCTCCCATCCTTTATTAGTTTATAGTACGTTGTTATTTTTTCAAGTATGTTGTAGTATTTATATTTTAGTGATATCTCGGTTCTATTTGTGCATGAGTTTAAACTTCAAAGGCTAATGACCTATTTTCCAATCATATTAATGTGTTACATAATGAAAGTCTATTACTAGTTCAAGTATTATCAAATTGTACTAACGCAAAATACGAATGCCAATTATTATTTTATCTGAGTTCTATATTTGCAATACAGATATAATATCATGCCTACTAAACACACTAAACGTTTTGTTTGTTTAAAAGTAAGCACAGTTTCATCATATAATTCACAAACATAAACACAAGCAGTCTCAATATGAAATTCTAGATAGAAGAAAAAGATGTGGTTTTACATGTTTTGGTTTCTAATTTGACATGCATAAACACATGATCTCAAAACATGACCTCCTTTAGAAAAATGGCTTTTTGCAAATTTGACTCAAAACTCCAAGTCAAACACAAAACTAACCTCTTCTTTTGACTCATCTTGTTTTTGTCCTATTCACCCCACATCTTCATTTTATTTACGAAAATGCCATTTATATGTTTTTTGAATTTTTTTTCGAAAATGGCATTTTTACTCTCTCAATCTCATCATCTTCAAGTATTTACAACATTGCCATTGCCATGAATACTCCCAACAACCTTGTACAACCCAACAACCTTGTACAACCAAGGTTTGAAGCTTTTAATGCACTTAAAATCGATATCCATACTCTCTTTCTCAATTGTTATGAACTAAAAACAACATCTCCTTCACTTTGTCTCCATATTCATACCAAAAACCCA